TGCAATCCTGCTCTATTTCTCTTAACATGCTCAACTTGTTCCCGTATGATTCACAGACTTCTAATACACTGTGTGATTTACTCCTCTGTTGGGTCTATTGTTCATTGTCTCATTCTGTGAAATGTGAGCTTCATGAAGACAAAGGTTGCTGCTTTGCTTACTCTTAATATCTCAAAAGCTTAGATACTACCTAATTAATTCCAGGCACTCAAAAAGCATTTATTGCAGTAATATTATTGGACATGGGTCACACTTTAAGGGGAGGACACATACATGGGGAATAGAGAAAGGTAGGAAACCCAAAACTTGGAGGTATTTGATATGTTCACTATAGAGGAGCTAATACAGTAACCTTAAAATGACAAAGGTCACTATGGGAAGGTGACCGGGAAGTAGTAAAGAGGTTAGGTAGAGATGAATCAATTCAGGTTGTAATACACCTGTGCATGGAAGCAATGCTAGGAATCTCTCTGTATAGCTATCCTTATCTTAACTGGATCTCAACTAGCAAAAACTCTATGTCTTTCTTATTGCTTATGTCTTCTCTTCAACAAAATTGAAGCAGGCAGAACATATTCTGCCTGGAAGCCAGGATGGTGGGGGGGAGGGGGGGGGAGGGGGCGGGGGAAGGGGACAAGGGGGAGAAATGGCTCAAAGAATGTATGCACATATGAATAAAAAAATTTATTGAATTAAATGAATAAACCAGTAGCCACTCCCTCCCAATAGGCTAACCTGTTTCCTGTAAGCTGAAATAAAAAATCTCACTTCTCTCTCTGCTTATGCACTCTGATAAAGCATTCTGCATGAAGGGTTCACTCTGAAGTGGAACTGGATCAGCTTGTCTTGGCAGATGACAAGAGTGTGGGAATGAAGGCTGTAGGACCACATGGAGAAAGTTCAGAAAATGAAGTTTAGACTTCTGAACTTGCCAGATTCTTACTGAGGAGTTCTTGATGGCACTCTTCTTGGGAAGAAAAGTTTCAACAATATATGAGATTTTTAGGGAGCACTGCATATACTGGAAAAAATTATGCAAATATGCAAAGACATCATCAAATCTGGCAGACAAATGGTAAGTAAGGCTAGATCAAGACCCCTCACACTTAGAAGCACAAGGGAACACTGCAACCCTCATTGTTCCAAAGACTTGGCCTTTTGAATTACTCACTGTGTTCCTTTGATATTGTAAAAGTGCTAAATTTGTCTTAAAATTTACTTTATAAAAAGATTACAAAGGGAGTATTCATCCTCATGTTTAAATTTGTATCAAAGTGGGAAACTCAAAGACAATGCTTCCATATTCAGGGGAAGGTAGTGATCAGAATTTTCCAAGTGATGTTTGATTTATTGTTTTCCATTCAAGAAACTGAGGCAGGCTAGAAGTAGGAAAAGTTTGGGGCTCATGTAGGATGCCTGGGGATGGGCCAGACCTCCCTCACCTGCTGGGAACTGCCCATGCCCCTTACCATTCACTCATTATTGGTTGAGAACCTCCTGGGCCTACCCTCCTATGGGGTAGTGTAGGTTTTAAAGGGACCTGAAAAAGAAAAGTGCTCTCTTTCTGTCAGCAGACTCCACTTGCATCCACCATGCCCCCTTCTTCTTCTTCTTCTCTTTCTTCACTTGCAGAACGGGCCCCTTTTCTCAATAAAGCTATCCTACCTCACCCCATCCATGTGGTCTGCTTGGATTTTTCCATTTGGAGCACAAAATACAGGATCTTCTGATCACAGACTGTACCAGCGCCGTTAACAAAACCAGGGTGTCTCAACAAAGATAGAATAAGCAATTGTTCGTTTTGATAGAGAGTGATTCACCAAAATAGGTTAATTTAGTAATATTAAAATATTTTCAAAGCTGAATCTTCTCAATGAACAAATACAATGCCAAACTATGGGTAGTTTTTCTGCTTGTATAGAGTATTGCTGCAGGCCTCTGTGCTACTTGTCCTGCCTCACCTGCTTCCTGTGACTGCCCCAGCACAAGAGTAAAGCAGCTCAGGCTTAAGGCCCTGGGGAGACAGAATTCCACTAGGGGAGCAGATCCACAGTGAGTATGTTGAGTAAGGAATTTTTTCTTCGAAATTAGTATTCACATTTGGGGGAGGAGATGAAGACTGTGAAAAGGATCAGGGACCAGCCTCGACACTGGCAGAGGAATCCAAACCGGCAGGGTTATGGAACTGTCTTTTTGCCACTTAGAACCAAGGATGACTTTCAGAATGTAAGGGCTGCTGTGTCATTTTTGCCTCCAAATATTAGGCAACTTCAGTTTTGCCCAATTGGACAAATATAGACGTGTAAGCACACATAAAAGGGGAGCTGGGGAGTCATGGTTCCTAGTATAACTAAGTTGCCTAAAGAACAACCCAGCACAAGTATCGTACTTGGGTTATAGCGCATAGAATTTCTTTCTTTAGTAGCCGCCCAAAGGGTCAGATACAACCTTGAAGGAGGGAGAACTAACCACCGGTAGAGTAAATTTCAACCAGTGGGAGACAGGATATGGGCGGTAGCTTATTGGTAAATTTCTTCTTTGGCCTCCTTTTGATGATTATTCCTTAGCATGGCCAAGCACCGGGTTGTGTCTTTTCAGGTTCATGAAGCCTAGACTAGGTTGGCAACATATCGTATATTTGCTTCCCATTCTTCCCCATCTCACTTCCCCTTTCCCCACTCCTGATGCCCTGGGGTTGCATCTTTCAATGAAGCATTAGCAAATCATTAACACTTCAGCTTTCCTAGCAAACTCAGCCAAAATAGTGCCCATTAAAAAACTACAATGTGGGCTGTAGGCATGGCTCAAGGGGTAGAGTAGAGAACTTGCCTAACAAGTGCAAGACCCTGAGTTCAAACTCCAGTTTCAGGGGGGAAAAATACATTGAAAATAAAATGTGCATTGGACGAGTTGATAGTGGAGAATGATTCATGTGAGGCTTGGCTCGTTTATGCGTAATAGTACTGGGTATTTAAGAACATCATCATCTTGCTTCACCAAAAAAAGACTATGTATTTTCTTTCTTCACCAAAAAAAGAAACAAGTATTTCTGAGACAAATAAAAGGAATGGATCGGGATAGCAGAGATCCTTTCAGCCAACATCATATGACTTGTGATTTAAACTCTTAGCAAGAATATACACATAATGAAATCATGGCTTTCTGGCACTTTGCTGAGCAATATCCCTGCCATAGCTCACAAAGCAATGAAAAGCCTGTTACTCATATTTATGTATCTATTCCAGTCTATGAGTTTTCAAAATATTGTGATACAGAGTGGAGAAACTGCCTTGGTATACAACTCTGTACTTACAGCTTTCTTTAATCCACTCATTTCCCCCAGATAGATGTAGTGCCATTAAATCTTATTTGACCATTTGTCAATGAGACAGGTAGGAGACATTCCTTCTGATCTATAAACCTTTTTTTTTTTAACACAATAACACACACACAGATGCAGATACTCTGAACAGAGGAAAAAGTGTACAGACATTCTTACAACAAAAAATGAGATTTGGGTTTATGGTATGCCCTCCTTTTCCCCCATAGTTTATAATTCTGCTAAGAGGGTTCAAAAAATTTTTGAGAACTTCATTATGTTTAAAGACTGTGTGTGCTCCCTCTCATCTTTTACACTTTGTAGGTATATATATGGGTGTGTGCATGTGTGTATGTGCGTTGGTGTGAAAACTGTTTCAGTAGTGTTTTTGTCATTGGAACCCAGATGGAAGGTAGCTATGACCAAGTGAAGGTCAGCAGCATAAGGGCTCCCTTGAGGAGACTGTCTTCACAGGGGAGGGGTGAAGGTGGGACTGCCATGTGTCACAGGGTCCCGCATCTGTTACTTTGTCACTGGGTGACTTGAAAAGAGAATGTTACTAGTCAAGGTGGAAGAAATTAATCCAAAAGGATGAGAGTAGAGAGTCAAGATAAATCGCATGTAGGAGAGTACATGTGGCCTGTGACTGGGCTACATAGCACACCAGGATTTTTATCAGCACAGAGAACAGTGAAATGCTGTCATATTTGTCTCAGTAGGGAGCAGTATCTTTAATTTTTAAAGGCACTCCTTTCCTCTGATATCCTACAGAGCCTACAAAGTACCCCAGCACTGTTCTGTAACTACCTTCTAGGCCCAGTCCATGTTCTCTGGATTGTTCCCCATGAAGATGCTCACAGAAATGTCTTGGCATGTTGACATTTCCTCAGTCATCCCTTCATAGACGAACCTTCTGAGCAAATATTTAAATCACCCCCGTCCCTCCTATCAATTTGCCTTCAGATCAATCTTCTCTTGGACACAGGCCAGGAAGACATTAAGTGTGGAAGGGTTAAAGGACTGGGCCAGGTGTACTGAGATGGGACTGAGGTTGCTGGGAGCCTCCCTTTCATATAATTCAAGTGTTTCTCAGGGCTAGGGAAGTTCTTGTCCCCGATGACAGTCAGGGACAGGGAGCAGGCACACAGTGTAGGAAGGACGGCCTTCGAAGGGCGTCACAGGACAGGGGCTTGGCAGCGCCACGGGAAGGTGGCCTGGCTGCGGTTCCCATATGAATCACTCTCCTGCAGTGCTCCTAGCTGCTGTGATCCGAAGCCCGAGCGCGGGAGTCATTTGGAGCCATCCTTTCTAGCCCGGCCAGCCTGCCTCCGCTGGACCGGACGCACAGGGCACCTCTATGGCCCTGGCCATGTCTGGGTCTCCACCGTGGGTGATCTCCGGACACCAGGAATTCCCACCGAGGCCCGGCCCTGGGCGAGTCCAGGCTGGGGGGCCCCGCGCGCGCCAAGGGGACGAAGGACGCCGGTGGGCGCGCAGCAGGCGGCGTAGGGAGGAGCGCTCAGCGAGGCGGGAGCGGCAGCCCGCGGCGGGTGGCCCCGCTCCAGCGGGGCCGGCGCGCGGGAGCCGGGGGCGGGGAGCCCGGAGCGCCGCCCCGCCAGCGCGCCCCGCCCGTGGGAGAGGAGGGGCTGCGGCGCGGAGGACCACTGGAGGCGCAGCGCTGCCGCGGCCGCTGTCGGTGCCGGGGACCGCGGCTCCGCGCGCAGGCGGCGCCCGAGCCTCTGCCACTCCGTCAGCCCGCGCGCTTGGCGGTCTGCCGGGGCCGCCTCCCGCCTCGCGCTGCGGCCGCTGCAGGAGCCCCGCGCCGCTCTCCAGGTAGGCGTCCTCGCTGCGGAGCCGGTGCCTGGGGCAGACACCCCAGTGCCCACCCTGCGGCCCGGGGGCATTGTGCGTGTCCGGAGGGCCGAGGACCCAGAGAGACGCGCGGGTGGGCAGCCGCAGCTCCGGGGCCCCAAGGCGTCGCCGTTCCCCCGGACCTCCCCCACCCCTCCCAGCCAGGCAGACCCCGGAGACCCTGTCAGTTCCTCGCGTGGCCAGCGTGGGAGGGGGCGTCTGGGTCACGGCCCCCGCTCGCCGCCATCCTTCCCCTTGGTTACAGGGGAATTTCGACCGCCTGGCACTGGCGCCCGCATTCCCCCGCGCCGCCCGGGTCCCCGCGTCCCCACCCCTGGGCTGGCTGGGGATTGAAGCCGGGACCGGGGGAAGGACTGATGTAATTGTCAGCGGAGAAGCGAATCGGCGCGCCCGCGCAAGCTGACGCCTACGCCGCACCTTTCAGGGAATCCGGGGAGCCGGGAGAAACGGCTGGGCAAGTTGTGCATTGGGTTTTGTTGTGCGCGTGCACTGCGGACTGCCCTCGCCTGGCACCCTGTCCACCCCCTGCTGGCGCCCCTGCAGCCCTCCTGCAGCCGCCGGCCCCGCTCTGCCTCCCCGGTTCAGATCGGGACAGGGTTTGCATTGCAGTCGAGACGTGCTTCCCCTGCACCGAGCCCGAGCTGCCCGCAGATCGAGTCGCCGGGGATGCTGGGGGGAGGAGGGGGTGGGAAACCTGGCCGGGGAGGAAGCTGGGAAGAACTAATGACAACAGCAGATTTTTAAAAAGCCTTGCCTGGATATAGACACATCCGCAAGCCACGTTTTAAGCTGCTTTTGAAAGTTATGACTAGATACCGATTTTGTGACACACTTGAACGGTTGCTTAAACTAGAGACCTAAAGCTGGGGAAGCATTACATAATGGGCATGAAGCAGGTGGCAGGAAACTAAGTGAATTCACTGGATTGCCAGATTATTTCTCCGGACGCAAAGTCCCGTAAGCCTTTTTCTTTATGAGTATTTCCATTTTTAAATCACTGGGCGAGATTTAGCAAATTGTGTATTATATTCCATTGTGATTTCCCCTTAAATAACAAAATAATTTTTCTAGCATGTTTTTTCTTAAATTTAAAATTTTCGTGTTATATATCACAGCGCTGATTAGTAAATGTCTTCAAAGAGAAAATGAAGAAGAAATTTCCCATGTTGAAACTATTAAGCTATGCTTCCTTCCTGTTTAGTTTGCTTTTTTTTTTTTTCTCCTCCTTCCATCCCCGCACGTTGCTTTTTGGAAGCTTTTGTACAGTTTTGGGTACTGCAAGTTCAGTGTTGATATTCCTATCTACTGTTACAGCATTGCAGATACAAAGACTAATAATAAATGAAACAGAAGACCTCGCAGTAACTCGGACTAAGCAGAGTTCCCAAGGTCGAAGGGAAACTGCTGTGTAACTCAGCTATAGTCACCTACAGAGAATTGTGACACAGCCCTCATAGGGTTATAAAGAAAGCCCTGATTGGTGCAGTGTGTTTCCTGTTATTTTTCTCAGCTAGTTTTAATATAGTTTCCCCTAAAAAATTTCTCAAGATAAAAACAAAATATTTTGAAATGTAAAACCTTTGCTTTTTTTCTGGTTTTGCTTATATTTTCAGTCGTGATGGATAACTTACTTATACCTTCAGATGATGCCCATCTGGGGACATTGCAGTTTCCAGTTATGATTTGTCAGATGTCTCTTGGCTTTAGTCTGATGTTGTTCTGTCGGATTTTTGCCTTTTGCAGTGTCACATAATTTGTGTTTTCTTATCCCTACGTTGACTTAACCTTATATTAACTTTATACCAACAAGAAGGATAAAGTTCTTCCAAGGTGAAATGTTTATGGTTGGAGGTCTGTAGTAGTACTGCAGATACAGAATTGGGTAAAATTATAAGCAGATATAAGTTTCACATGACTTTACTCTTGAAACCATTGGGCTAGGGAGATTTCAGTTTTATTAAAATGCCTTGGTCAATTAGCTTTTGGTGATTGTCCCATCAATAACCACTTATTGAGAACCCACTCTGTTCAGACACTAGTCTAGGCACTGTGAGAGATAGAAATAAGAATAAAAGGTGTTCCTGACCATGTGGGTTTGTAGTCTTCCTTTGAAAAGATAAGGTATAAATCCTCAAGAGAGAGAGACGTTTTAAAATTTTTTTACTGCAAACATTAATAATTGTAATGCTATTTTATATCTTGGAAAAAAATTCTATTCACTTCTGGTGCTTTTTTTTTCTGTCACTCAGTATTGCCAGTAAGAGTTATTCATGTCATCTGTGGCTGTAGTTCATTGACTCTCACTGCTGTACAGTATTCTACTGTGTGTCCTATAACATAATATGTTTTTCTATTTTGCCAATGGCTATTTGTTTTAATTTAAAAATTTGCAGTGTTGCTTTGATCGTTCATGTTTCTTACAAGTATTTCTCTTGGGTAAATACCAAGGAATAGAATTACTGGTTTGTAGAGTTGTGTGACTATCCAACTTACTAGGTATTATCATTTTATTGTCCAGGATAGTTTTACTGATTTATATAAGCCAGGTAAGCAAGCAAACACAAATGACCAAACACAAACAAGCATTTATTTTGCATACATGTATGTGTGGAAGTGCACATTTTTTTAAGCAAGAAAATGATGACTATAACATTTAGGATGTTAATTGTTTTTTGGAAGACCGCAGCTTAGAGAGGAGCACATAGGTGGATATGTGATCAGTAATGATCTAATTGGGTTTGGCAGTGAGTTCATAGGTGGTCATTATATTAAAAAAAGAAAAAGAGGATAATACATGGACCAGATGATATTTTTAAAGTTCTAAAAAAAAAAGTGTCACAGGACAGCAAGCTTCTGCAGGAGAATACTAACAAGATGTCAGGTGAAGGACGAGAAGCAGTTCCTGTGTGTATGCATGAGTTGCCAAGGGTTCATGAAGGAGATTTGCAGGAAGGATGAGCAGGAAGTTGCCATGCTGAGAAGAGGAAGGCTATTTCATACTGAGTAAATGATATGAACAGAAGTGGAAGAGAATTGGGAAATTTTCCAACAGCATTAGAAGTCTGCGGAACTGATGGATTGAGGGTAGGAGGAGAGATTCACCGCAGAGCCCCTAGTTAGAAAGCTGCTTGGTTGAGATGCAAATTCTTAAGCTTGGAGAAAATGAAAATGAAAGAGTGGGTTTTAAAACACACTGGAGGAAAATCCAAGGGTTTATGATCCTAGATAAGAGGAGGAGGAAAGAGTCAAAGATGTTGAACTGTAATCAAAAGAACTAGGGAAACTGCAGCAGGAGCTTTTAATGTGGTTTGCACATGTGAAGTATGGAGCTAATAGCTACCAAACTCATGTTTGAACACCTGGGCTTGGAGCTCTGGTGAGCAGTTAGGACCCTCACATTGAAGAATGTGATCCTCTACTGAGCTATCTGAATGAGTATGGAAAAGTCTTCGAGAGACAATACTACAATAAAACTTGTATTATTTCTTTACTGATGTAAAGAAAACAAGAAATAAGTGCTAAGATGTGTCGGCATTGACAGTGAGATAGGCACACAGTTGAAAGAATGCTGGGATTAAATCGGAAGTGTTGGATCAGTACAGTTTATTGGGTTGTTGATTGGGAGGATGGGGATCCTTCGATCCTAAGTTATTGCACGTCTGAAATGAGGCTATTAATAGTCACCTCACATGGATGCAGGAAACAAGATAGGACTGAGGGACTAGAACCTTTTGGGGTAAACTTTGTTTCACACTGTTTCCCATCAAATGTTGCCAAGCAATGCCATGTGCATGCAAATTCTCTCTATACTTCCTTGAAAGAGATAGAGCATTTACAACCCATTAAGTTTCTTTCATTAAAATAAAGGATTGTCTATGCTGTCCTAAGGGTATTCTGACATATAATGACTGATTATCATTTTAGATGGCTTATTTATTTCATAAATTTTGTGATAGGTTTTTAGCATTTTCTCATATTCTAAAATTTTTTTCCTGATTTTGCTTATGCTTCTTGATAATCTTTGCTATCTCTAACTGTATTTTCTCACTGATTTAACATCAGTTGTTACAGTGGTGGCTGTATAGTTGTCTCTGACAAAATGTAGTCCTCAGTTGCCTTCTCCTGGCATAGCAATCCCCAGAGCATCTTACTGACAATTTTAATAGCAGTTAAATAGTTAACTGCTATTAATGTGGCAGCATTTTGATTAAAAAAAAAAGACTGACCCCCCCCCCAAAGGAACAAAGCTTGTTTATGAATAAAGTCAGAAGTTACCAAAAAGTGCACAACAGTAGGAGTCTGTAGCCTGTGTTAGTCAGGGCTGTGTCCACATCTCTGTCTTCAACTGTGCATTCCTCAGGTTCCCTAAATGGCTGTATTTAATTATTTGAAATCCAGAATGGATTTAGTAGCTTTGGTTAAGACAATGAACTAAAGTTAATTTTAGTAATAACTAAATTTAGGGTGAGCATGAAGTACATCTCAGTTACTGAAATTGGTAGTCTGCTGTTCTAGCGAGGTTCTGACTTTTCGTGAACTTGGGAAGTAGTTCTGCATCTATTTTTTCGATTACCAAACCAAGGCTGATCACTTTCACAGTGAAGTGGCCAGTGGCTGTGGGTGTCATGTGAAGGTGACACAGCACATCAAGTGCCTTTCTTCCTCATAGAGCCAGTGTTTATTGAACATCTGCTGTGTGCCAGGTATCAGATTTAAGTGCTGGATCATAAACATGTCTTTCCTGAAAGGTTGACCTAAACTATAATTTTCGGATAAGAAATCACTATTGAATATGTGTGCAAGTGTGTGGGAAGATCTGGCTTTGAGTTTAGAGTTTATATGCAGTATCTATTTTTTCTTTTGTACCCCCAACTTTTTCTAGATTTATGTTTAGACTGTTATAGAAAAATATATGCAGTCCTTGTAAAGAAGTTATTTTAAATGTAGTTCTATTTTGTTTG